AGTGTGTGTCACTGTCGGGGGCCATCCATCGGAGAAGACATTGGTTTAAGCCAATAGAGTCTTTATTAGCCAGCCGGTGACTACAGTGGATGTTCAGGATCCCAGGAGCCTTTCTCAGGGTGAGCTTTTAAGTAGAAAAACCCATGTCCTGTGTCGACAACTTCAGTTAACAAGAACAGTTAGCCAGAAGCAGAACTACAGAAGCCAAAGAGCAAGGTTAGTACACTTAGAGACTTTCCCAGAAATATGGACTTTGCATTAATTTAGGTCCTTGTTTTTATTTTTGGCAAGTGGTGCTGTCTGTGTGTTGAATTTTACAGCCTGAATGGTATTCCCATCATGGAGTCAGTTGTGCTAAGGTCTGGGGGCCTGCTACAATCACTAGTCCCTGCTTACCCAGCTAACCAATCAGCTTTCTTCTTCTTTTCTTCCTCCTCCTCTTCCTCCTCCTCTTCTCCTTCCTTTAGACAGGTTGTTAGTTGGCTGGTCTGGAACCACTCACTGATTGGACCAGGCTGGCCTTGCATTCATTAGAGATTCACCTGCCTCTGCCTCTTAAGTCCTGGGACAAAAAGGCATGAGCTACCACACCCAGCATCAGTCATTTCATAGTGCTTTTAGTTTCGGTTGTGGGCTCAGTGTGGAAGATCAATTCTAGGCCCTGAGCGGGCCCTCCACCACTGAGCTTCAGGGTCACATGCACAGGTGCTAACGGCACGGCCTCCAAAACCAAACAGCCCGGTTGTGAAGTCTGGCTCTCCTAAGTCACCAGTTGATTACATGTCTTCACTTCCCGCTTTCCTTCCCTGTAAAGCAGGGAGGACCACAGGTGACCTGCCTCCTAAGGTTGCCGTGGTTAGATATATGAACTGCTGAAACTGGATGCCACCATTCGGTCCATTCCTGAGGCCTGTCTGTACCCAGGCCTCATTCTCGTGCCCTTATAACAAATTTCTTAATTTGTTAATTTCTTAATAAAGTGTTCTTTTTTTTAATTTGCTGTTTGGTTTTGTATTGCATCACTGAGACAAGGCCTCAAGTGGCCCGGGCCGGCCTTAAATTTTCCCAATAAAGCTGAGGATCACCTGGAACTTTTTTGATCATCCTGTCTCAGCCTCCCACGTGCTGGGATTACAAAGCATGCACCACTGCGCTGGCCTCAGGTTCCTTCGTCAGAATTCCAGCTCAGAATTACTTCTGTTGCTTGCACTCAGTGTCAACTGCTGACCGTGTCAATTGCGTAAGTAGCCCTCAACATACCTCAAGTTATGGTAGCCTCTGAATTGCCCTTCATTTTCACTATTACAAATAGAACTGTGGCAGCTGGGCATGGTGGCTCACGCCTTTAATCCCAGCACTTGGGAGGCAGAGACAGGCTGAGCTCTGAGTTCGAGACCAGCCTGCTCTAAAAAGTGAGTTCCAGGACAGCCAGGGCTACATAGAGAAACCCTGTCTCTAAGAAACAAAACCAACCAAAAACCCTTTGTCGCTCTTGCAAAGGGGTCAGGGTCTGGCGGCCCACGACGGCTGAAACTCCACACCTCTGACCCACGCAGACATACCCAGGCACATGCATACACATAATTTTCTTTGTAGAGGAAAAAAAAATCTCAAGGGACTGAAAAGATGGCTCCCAGGATAAGAGCACTTGCTGCTCTTGCAGAGGACCACGCTATTGTCCTCAGGACCCACTGGCGTTTTACAACCGTCGGTTTCAGAGGATCTGATGTCCCCTTCTGGCCTCCCACACAAGTAATCCGCAGACAGACACACAGACAAAACATACACACATAAAATAAGAACAAATAAGCCTTTAAAAGGAAAGAAAGAAAGGAAGAAAGGAAGGAAGGAAGGAAGGAAGGAAGGAAGGAAGGAAGGAAGAAAGAAAGAAAGAAAGAAAGAAAGAAAGAAAGAAAGAAAGAAAGAAAGAA